GGAGGCAGCACCACACAGCTCTACAGCAGCAGCAACAACATCTACACCCCCGACTACTCCGTGCACATCCTCTGCGACGTGCAGTTTGTCAAGGTACCTGCGTTGTCCCTCCTCTATCCTTCCTGCCCTGCACCCTGCGTTGCATGGGAGTCCCAGGAGGGCCGCGCGGCACCAGCGCGGTCGGGTGCTTGGAGCCCTTGGTGAGCACTGCAGGACCATGTCCCCGGGCCCTGCAGCTGCATACCAGCACCGTGGGCAGGACTGGGGAGCTCCTGGCACTGGGTATCTCGTTGCGAGGCTGTGGTGCAGTGCTGAGCTCACGTGAGCCTGCCCAGATCACCCGGCAGCAGTACCAGAACGCGGTGGTAGCCAGTCGCATGGACAGCTCGCCCCAGTCCCCGGATGTGGAGGCTTTCAACGACAGGGATTCGACCAAGGCCTCAACAGCTCGCGGAACCCCCCAGACGCCCAAAGAGGACACCACCGCCCTCCTGAACGAGAGGAACAGCATCCTGTGTGAGTCACCCAGTGGCCTCCCAAGGGCATCCCTTCCCTGCCCGGTGCCAAGGCAGACGGAGAGGCCATGCTGCGACCTGCTGGCATGGGGGCACCGACACACCAGGGCTCTCGCACGTCTGCCCTCTCTGTCCCTCCAGGCAGCCGGGCTGACGGGTTGCGCAGCCCCAGCGACTCTGTGTTCCTGCGCATGGAGGGGATCCCCTACATCCAGGAGGAGCTGGCTGACAACGAGGAGAGCTGCAAGCAGCAGAGTGAGTCCCAGGCTGGGAGATGAGATACAGGGGCCAAAGAGCACAGGCAGTGAGAGCTGCAGTGCCTCGGGCGCTGCCCGGGACTGCTGCAGCCACCTGGGCTTTTGCAGACAGTGAGTGCTGCAGCACTGCCCTGGACGTGGAGTCCCCAGGCAGAGAGGCTGGGACAAGCTCCTCTCCGAGTGGCTCCGAGGAGACCCTGGGCAAGAGGCTGCTGAGATCACTGAGTGAGTAACGGGCTGGCTTGCAGTACAGGGGACATTCCCAGTCCTCCTGTGGGGAGGTATGTTCGGCCGGCTGCTTCTGGCCCAAGCCTGTGCCCACCTTGCTCCAACACTCACCTCACCCTCACTTGCTGCTGCAGGCGGGCGCAAGCAGCGGCAGTCCCTGGAGGGTGAGCAAGCACCAGAGGAGAGCTCCAATCTCGCCCCGTTAATCACCTGAGCAGCAGCGTGGCTGGAGCACGGTGCTGGAGGCTTGCATGGACTGGAGGTAGGACCCTGCCCGTTGGTGAAGCATCCCTTCCCCAGCAAAGGGAAAGCTGATAGCTTTTAATAGTGTGTTTCTGTCTTGCAAAGCCAAAGGATGGGGCTTAGAGGGCTGCAGAGTCAGCCACACCGAGTCAGCAAGAGCAGCCCTGTGCAGGCACATAGAGCTAGGGGCTGCAGCAGGGTCAAAGGGGTGAAGAATGGAAACCCACCATCTTTTGGGTATGAATGGGAGTAGGAAAACAAGCAAGCTCTTGATCTGTACTTCTGCAGCTATGAACACGTATCTGCACCAATATCCCACTGTTTGTGCAATGGTTGGCCAGGGAGAAGGGGCTCTGGCCAGCGAGTTGGGGACCCACCTGCACCAGGCTGTGCTTGTTTCTTGCAGGTCTGCAGCATGGGGGCCTCCTGCCACGAGTCTCATGTCCAACAGCAGCAGGTCTGCACTCGCTCGCTGCCCGCCTGCCCGCTCGTGCCGCCCTTCCCTGCAGGACTTGTGCAGAGCCCCGTCCCCAGGCAAGAAAGGCTGACCCAGCCCAGGCAGCCTGGACCAGCTAGCTGGAGTCCGAGGGCCCTTGCCCAGCTGCTCCCTGGTAGCACTTGGTCCCAAGGAAGAGGTGGAGAAAGGAAAGGAGAAGTATCTGGCACGGTGTCCCTGCGAGCAGAGCAGGGAGGGGCGGCCCAACCCAGAACTGCCCCTTAGCATCATTTATCATCCCCATCCCAGCAAGCCTGGAGCACCGCGGTGCTGGATGCTGCGCAGATGTGGTCTCTGCCACAAGGCACATGTGCTGTTTGGAGGTGCCACACGCAGCTCAGGGCCCCAGTACATATTTGTGCTGTGCCTAGTGACATACACCTTTGCAGCACCTCATGTACCCTGACCATCACCACAGCCCAGCACTTCCCTACCCTGCAAGCCACAGGGGAGGGAGCCCAATGCCCTGCTGAGTGTCCCCTTCCCTCCCTGGGGAGGGCTGCTCCACACTGCGTTTAACCACCCTCCTCTCTGCTCGTGGCTACCTGTGCAGGGGAGGCTCACACTCAGCCTTCAAGTTGGTACAGACCCATCAGTAGTTTTTGCAGAGGCTGAATGCAATGGGGATATTAACATTAAAAGTGAGTTCTTGCTGAGTAATGTCCTCTCTGTGTCAATGGCTTCACATGGAAAGACGTGTTAACATCTCCCCCCAGATTAAACTTACCTCTTGTACCTATGGCCATGGGGAAGCCTGCAATAGTCGCTGGTGCTCCAGAGCTGTAGCTGTTTTTCTACATGCCCAGCTCCCAGGAGAGCCAGAAGATGCAATGGCAGTGCAAGGAGACGGCCTCTGGCTCTGCCCATCGTACTCGCCCCACCGTGTTTCGGGCTGCTCTCATCGCAGCTCTCAGGACAGGGAAGGCACCGCAGTGCCACAAAGGCCTTCGCACACGTTTGCTGAGGGTGCAAAGGGATCCAGAGCGTCAGCCCCCTGTCCACTTCTGTTTTAGGGCTAGCATAGCTGACGAGAGCAGCTGGAAATCCAGGTCTGCGAGTGCTTCCCAATCCCTCACTCTGCTCTGAACCTGGACTCCTGGGCAAGGGGGTAACAGGCTTTCCTGCAGTGTTGCTCAGGGAAGCCCTCAGCACTACAGCGTCTTCTAACTGGAACTGCAGGCAAAGAGCACAGGAATTCCTGTCATCACACTGTTGCAAACAATACTGGGATACACATGCTGGACTACAGCCTGATAGATCTAACGATGGAAATCTTACATCCCACCAATGCTGATCAAACTTCAGCTGTTGTAACTGCATCCCTCTCTGGGCACTGCCCTTCTAAGGAAACACGAGGCAGTTGAAAGGAGGCCAGAGGAAAGTGAGGGCTACAAAGCCTACCTGAGAAAGCTGAAGGAAACAGGGTCATGTAATCTTAGCTGGTGGAGGATGTGAAGGGAAGAGAGGAAGTTTTCAAACACACAAAAAGCTGTTGCAAAGAGGAAGAGAATAATCTGTTCTCTGTTGCCATGGTAAATGGGATAATGGGTAATGAGCTTACACCACAGCAAGGGAGAAATTTAGGTCGCTCATTAAGAACAGGCACGGCAAGGCTACCAAAGCACCGGAAGGATCACAGGGGGGTTGGGCCAGTTCTGCTCTTAGAAAGCTGTAAGGATGGAAGTGCAGCTAGTGTCCAAAATGACACAAGCTGGTCCCTTTAATTCTCCACCCGAGATCACCACTAAAAGTCATTCTTGAACTACCACCCACCTTTCCAACTGTGGACAGATCGCAATAGGGAGAAAAGCCACCTCTGCCTGCAGAGGGAAGGCTGCCTCCATCCCACTGTCCTGCATGACACACTAACCTGAGACACCTCATGGTGCATGAGTCAAAGAGGAGTCCAAGCACCTGTACCAACAAGCAAAGCAATACTCGAGGTAGGGCAGTATCCTGAAAGACACAAGATACCTGCTTCATTTCAGACACTGCAGATGAACAAGCTCTGCTCTGCAAGCACAGCAAGTGAACAAGGCACTGTTTTCCCCTTCGCAGTCTAAACTGTAGCAGAAGTAAAATAATCAAGGCAGCAGCAACTATCGCGAGTGATGCGAGGAAAGGATCCCCATCCCCTTCCCTCATCTTGGCAGGAGGCTGCTGTATTAAGGTGGCAGTACCAGCTCCCAAATAGACCTGCTAACTCTGACTGCAGAAAACAGGACCAGATGGTCCCTACTCTTTTTCAGTGCCAGAAACTCAAGAGTGCTGCTGGCAGAACCTGGTGAACCTAGAGAGACTAGGAGAGAAACCTGCTGAGAAGGGAGAAAAGGAAAGATTTGCTCCTCAACAGATGAGCAGCAGGCCAGGAGCTCAGAGCCAGAAAGGACATGGCTGGGAGAAAGCGACAAGGAAGAGAGTCACCCTCAGTTCTGTGTGCCACAGCAGTAAGTGGTACAGCTCCATAACACAGGCCTTCCTCAGGCAGGGGCAACACCAACACGGGGCAGGCATCACAAAAGGCAGGCTAGTGTTCAGAGATGGAGATTTAATTTTCTGTCAGCAACACCAAGAAGCAGTTATGACGATTACAAATGTTTGCTCGCATAAGGCTCAGAACTGCATGGGGAAAGTCAGCACTGGCTTCACCCCACCAAAATACTATGGAGTGGCACCAGGCCACAGACCTGGTGGGAGCCCAATTGTTTGGGCTGTTATCCCATAACTGCACTAGCCCAGGACTCAGCCCAGACCGAACTCATCAGTTACATGGGATTGATTCGGTTGTGTTACAGATACAACATCAAGCACCCAGAGACCAGGCTGCTGTCAGTCAAACAAGAGCCAAGAAGGCTCGTGCTGCTCCCACCACCTGGGTGAATTGGCGTGCCATATTGCAAGGGGTTTTTCAGAAAGGCCAAAAGATGATTATCCCCCATGGAGCTGCTACTCCCATCTTTATTAAACCCCAAGAGGTGTGGACAAGGCAAGCCACAAGCAGGGAAAGACACGGACTACACACTACAGCTTTGGTGACTTCATTTAAGGTGACTTCATTTAAGTTTGGTTGTTCACATGCTTGACTGGATCCTTGTGACGGCTTCATGGATGGACTTGGCCACATAGTCCAGGTTCTTGGCAGCCAGGCCACTCATGTTGATGCGCCCACTGGCCAGCAGGTAGATGTGTTTCTCCTTGATCAGGTACTCCACCTGCTTAGCTGGGGAAGCAATTAGACCTCAGGTCAAACTGGAGACCACATAGCTCAGGAAAAACAGTCACAACTGCTGAAATCTTTCACAGTGAGGAGAAAACTTCCAGCATTAGCCTCTGAAATGCAGTTCAATGCTTTATCCTTGCCTACCCACAGTGGCAGGGATGAAAAGGACTGGCAGAGGCTCAACAAACCATAACCTTAAAAACGTTTTCCAGCTAACTGCAATAGGAATACCAGGACCCCAAGGAGCTCCCCAGGAGAAACCAGCCTAGACTTTAGCCCATTTCTCTCCGAGCACAACCTTCCTCACCCAATCCTCCCTTCCTCCCCCAAGGCTGCACCAGACAACTTGCTACTTACGGTTAAGCCCTGTGAAGCTAAACATGCCAATCTGATCTGTAATGTGGTTCCAGGTGCCCGGGGTCCCGAGCGACTCCAGGCGAGACCGGAGCTCTGAACGCATCAGCAAGACCCGATCTGCCATAGTCTTCACGTTGTCCTTCCTGCAGCAGGTAGGAAACCATGAGCAAGGGCAGCCTGTCTGCGCTGGAGCTCTCTAGCTAAGCCTGGCACTCAGAGACTCCCCTTTCTCTTTGCCACTGGCCCTGGCAACACTCACCACTCGGCAAAGAGCTGTGGGGAAGCGAGGGTAGTTGCCACGATGCGCGCTCCTTGGGACGGAGGGTTGGACCAAGTGGTGCGCACAATCTTCTCCATCTGGGAGAGCACACGCTTCACGCTGTCCGCATCCTTCACCACCACGATCAGATTGCCCACACGCTCATCTGTGGACAAGCGAGGACACGTGAGCCGTTGGCCCCACACATCACTGCAAAGCAGGACGCTCCCTTTCCCCCCCAGCATGCCAGCCCCGTCTGTCTGGATACGATGCTGCCCGGCCAGCTTGCTGACGGACACTCACTGTAGAGCCCAAAGTTCTTGGAAAACGACTGTGCACAGAAGAGCTCAAAGCCCTCGGAGACAAAGTACCGCACAGCCCAGGCATCCTTGTCCAGGTTGCCAGAGGCAAAACCTTGATACGCCGAGTCGAAGAATGGAAACAGGAACCGGCGCTGCAAGGAGGAACAGTATTAGAGGGAACCCCCTTCCCCAGAACCTTCTCTTTACCCACTCCACCATCCCCATAGGAGGGAAAATAAAAACATTTGGCTTCTAGGTGAGTTGCAGGGCACGTGGCCCAGCAAGACCAGACTGGGACATTTTCCTTTCACTAGGGCGAAGGAATAGAGAGACCAGCATGGTCAAGAAAAGGCCAAATGCATGAGGAACCAATGTGGCAGCTGCCTCCCTCATGCTATAGGAGCACAAAGGGGGGACAACAGAGATGTGCTATTTTATATCCTAGAATCCAGCAAGTGTCTCGGAGAGTCTTTCTGGCCTTGCTGCACCCCATACTCCACTCACAGTTTGGAGGCAAAAACTTGGCATCCGGATGAGGACCAGGATGCCTCTATCCTCACAGCACAGGCATCCAGCATGCTGCCAGCTTCTCCCTTCGACACGTGCCTAGTGCAACTCTTCCAGCTCTTACCACATCTCATGCCATTTCCGAGAACCCACTTGGGGGATTCTCCAGCTGGCTCAAGAGCTACTTGTCCCCTCAGCCCCAGCAGCAGCCCTTACCTTCATAACAGCAGCAATTTGCTTCCACTCGTCTGGAGTAGGGTCAGTGCCTGTTGGGTTGTGCGCACAGGCATGGAGGACGAAGATGGAGAATTCTGGGGCTTTCTGCGAAGAGAGACGTCTTGGTCACACAGACTGACATTTCTTAGCACCCAGAGCAGAGGCTTCCATCTGCTGTGGGCACCAGCAGTCTCTTAAGCACAGATCTGCTTTCAGGCACCTCATGCAGGACACAGTCTCCTGCTCACAGCACAGGACCTGCCAGCCCATCCCAAGCCAGTTTTACTCACCTCCATGTCATCCAGCAGGCCATGGAGATCCAGGCCCCTCTTGGCAGCATCCCAGTAATGGTAAGTTCTAATATCTTTAAAGCCAGCATCCACAAACACAGAGTTGTGGTTCTCTGAGGAAAGAATTCATCGTTCAAAAAAGCAGCCCCTGCCTCCAAGCAAGCCACTTTCTCCAGTCTCAACAGCTCCACTTCCTCCATCCAGATAAGAAAGACCCGCTTCCCACTGCCTAAGCACCTGTACTGTGAAGAATTCAGCTGTCCAGGCTTTGGCCACTGACCTACAGGGCTTTCTGCAAGGAGCAGGCAGTACAGATGACAACACTCACCCCAGGATGGAGCAGAGATGTAGATTGGGGTTGCCGTGTTGTTGTTTCCGTTGTACCATCGTCTCAGAAACTCTGCTCCAATACGCAGAGCGCCTGTCCCACCCAAGGACTGAACACTGCCAATCTGGAACAGAGAGCATCTCCTTCAACCTCAGACCCACCCACACACCTTCCAAAATTACAAACAGATTCCAGTAGTTTATTATTTTTTGACACAGAGCAGATCCCCAGTGAGTACCAGAGCTGCTTATCACAGGGAAGGTGCTCTATTCTCGGACTTTGGTTTCCTGCTGGGCAACCACTAGCAGTGGAGGAAAACAAGCTCCAGCCACAGCTCAACTTCTGCCTTTCCGTGAACCTTGTGATTACTTACACAAGCAGCTCCGCACAGCCAGCTTTGTGAATTAAGCCGTGACCAGCGGGACACCCTTGTCAGAGGTAACCCCTCAATCCCGCCCAAACGCCCTCGCTTCACAGCTGCACACCCCACGGCGCAGGCCCCGCCGCCCTGCTGCGCGGCACCTACGCGGTTCTCGCTGATGGCCGGGCTGCTGTCGCCCAGCGCGATGCGGGACGCGTTGGCCCGGAACTCGGGCAGGCCCAGGATGGGCAGGTACTCGTGGTTGAGGCTGTCATCGGCCGCGATCATCCGCTCCACCTTCCTCACGACGGGCAGGACCCAGGGCTGCCCCTCGTCCGTGCGGTAGGCTGCAAGGCAAGGCACAGCCGTCTCTCCGGCGGCTCGGCCTGCGCGGGGCCACCCGGGCCCCACCCGCCGGCGGGCCCCGGGGGGC